TCACCCCAATAACAGTTAGCCTGGAAGTGGTTGTCATCTACCTCTAGGGCCCCACTGAGCGTCTTTCTCATCCTTCTGGCTTTTCCTTCAGCATCCCTGGTGACCCACAGGGCTTCACCAGCGGGAAGGACGGCCGTGGACTGGCCAGCTCATGGTGACCCACAGGGCTTCAGCCGGCAGGAAGGACGGCTGTGGAGTGGCCAGCTCATGCCTGGACTTTGTTATGATGGAGGATGAGGAGGTTCTGGTGACAGATACAGTCAGTGACTTCCTGAAATTTTCAGGGAAACCCCAATGCACAAGGGCCTTATATGACACTTAAGAAATTTTATGAGAAAATGGGATTTAAAGATAAGTTGATTTTGACAGAAAACTTTTTTGTTTAAACCTGTATCCGATTTGTCCTAAGGCACATTTCTTGTGAACCTCTTGAGGCTGGCTTGTAAGTGACAGAAGGAGGCAGGAAGGTCGTGAGGAGAACTCTGTGGGCATTTCTGCCTACCAGGGGAGGGAGTGTGCACAGGCTCTGGAGGCTGGGAGAGGCCAGGTCGCCAACTGTCCCGGCTATAGAAGGCAAGCAGGCTCGCCATTGGCTTGGGTCAGCAAAGCCATCATGGGACCTGGCACCCGTGGAACTGTATTCAAAGAGAAAAATAACTATGCATGAATTGTAATTGCATTTGTACAACAATGAACACCTTTTGTATTTTCCCAGAGCCTTTTTGAAGTACCTTCCTAGTGTGCAATGTTTGGGACCAATACATTGTCATTTCTTCCAACAGCAAGAGGATAGGTGTGCAGGGGCTGCAAGGTCAGAGACCCCCCTTAGCCAGGATCCCCTCATTGTTGCTTGAGGGTCGGGTGCGGGCAGTGAAGCAGGCAGGATCCTGGGGGGCTGGCATTTCCAGATGCCTTGTAGGACTCCTCCCCTGGGACTAGAATCTCACCCGGCCCGAGAGGAGGGCTGTTGCCAAGGCAGGGCAGGGAAAATCAGGTGCTGGAGAGGTGTGTGGCTGCTGCCCTGGCCTGGAAGCTGCCGTTTGTACAGCAAGGCAGCCTGAAGCTGCTCGGAGTCCTGAGCTTGGCTGCCTGGGGACGTGCCCTGCCCTGGAGGGCACTGCTGGGTGAGGAACACTCCCAGGCCCCAGAAGGTTCCAGATGCGCTTCAGGGCATGTCTCTCAATTTAATGGCTTAGCATTTTCATTTAAAACTATGTATCTATCTTCTACTTGTACCTGCAAAAATGTCCCATAAAGCAAAATAATTCATCAAGTTCTCATATGTCTGTATGATGTGAGGTAAGTCCTTTTTAAAAAATCATATGTATTTACTATCAGCCAAAGATGTTTGGGTTAAAATATAAAGTGAAAAAAAGCAGCTCATAAAACTATAAAACCTATTGTATTGTTTCTAAGCAACATATGTATTTCAAATAATGAAGAGCAAAAAAAAAAGGCAAGAAAAAACATCATGAAAACCACCCATCCTTGCTTCTTCTGGGTGCGAGCCTACACCTGCAACGGGGCTATTCACTGGAATTGACACCTGGCCCTGCTCTCCCCACATGAGCCCTGGTGAGGCACAGAGGAGTGCAAGGGAGCTTGAAGGTGCACTTCCAATAACGCTGTCTCCTGCTGGTCTCTGAATTCATCCAAACAGTTTGGTCAAAGTGTGCCCCCCGGGGCCTCTGTAAGGCGCTTGGGCTAAGTGCAGTAACAGCACTGGGTCCATTCTAGCATGTGCCCACCAAGGACAGAGGGGGCTTTCAGTGTGCTGTCTCCAGGACCCACAGCCAGTGCACACAGTAGGTCTTCAAGAAGCCCCAAGTTGCAGAAGGGTCAACGAATTGTGATAAGCCATGAAGAGTGACAGGAAGTGACGTTATCTGTGAAGAAAACCTGGCAGTTTGAACATAGGACACCCTGTTGCCTAATTATATTTCTATGACACTGAATATAATTAGCAGGTTGTTAAACAGCATTCCCTTACTTTAAAAAAAATGCCAGCTTTAACTTTCCTAAAAATAAATACCTTCTCCCACCCCAAGTTCTTGGTTATCCCCGAAGAGAAAAGACAGACGCAGTGCGTGAGGTGCCCCAGTGCTGAGCTTTGGGTTCTTGCCATGCACCTGCAGAGTCCGAGCTCCTGGCACTAGCTACCTCCCTCAGGCATGCCAGCTGACCTTCCTGGTGCTAGCTCTGGAAGATGCCCTCTCCCCTAGGACTGCACTCCTACCAGTGACCCCATTTCTCACTCGCTCTCTCTCTCACGCTCTGTCTCTCTCTCGCTCTCTTGCTCTCTCTCTCTCTCTCTCACACACACACACACACACACACACCCTGGGACCTCACTGAGCAGTACAGGCATTTTACCTTCCATCTGCATTTTCTTTCTAGAATGTTCTTCCCCCTCAAAACCCAGCAGTCCCTGTCCTCCCTCTGAGCTAGATGTCCAGCTTCCTTCACCCCACTGGCAGAGCCACTGAGATGCCCAAATGCGGGGACAGGCCATGTCCTTCCTTTAGGTTCCAAGCATTGGCCATGGCCCTGGACCATGAGAGGCAAGAACTGCCGAGCACTGAGCTGAAGAAACAGTGCATGCCCTCACACCGCCCTGTGCTCACTCACGCTGCTCAGCACTTACCAAATGCACTGCTCTCGGGCTTTACCTGTGTGAACCTGCTCTGAACCCATGTTTTAAAGATGAAAGCTGCATGGCACAGAGCAGTGGAATATCCTGCTGAAGACCTTCCTGGGTAGGAACCGGGATTCCCCCCTAACTGGATGCCCTCCTGCCTGGTGACTTCCACTAACAAAGTTCGCTTTTCTCATTTGCTGGGAGTGAGAGTAAAGAGGGCCTTGCTGTTGTTGGGCCACAACTGGCTTCAGAGTGAGTGCCAACTTGGACAACTTTTTGGGTCGACACCATCTTCTGTTTCAGATGTCAGCAAGATAGCAGCCACTTGCGCTCTGTGTGCAGTGTCCGGGAGTCTTCCTGCGATAGCTCAATGCAGCTCCCAGGCCGGCCCATTTCCCCGTGTGCACCTGGCTGACTGCCTCTCTCTGCCTCGATCTGAGTCAAAAGGAGGTGACATTGAGATCATCCGAGTGTTGGAGGATACCAGGGTGCAGCCTGGGGCTCAGCAAGGGCAGGGTGTTAGTCATTCCCAACAGGCCTCACTAGGAGGACTCCCAGGGCTCGGCACCTGGCTGCACTCATCACTCAGATTTCTTTCCACCAAAGCGCATGAGCAGAGGAAAAATCCAGCAAAAGCCAGGCCCAAGCTTCAGGGTCCTGTCCCCGTGGCGTCACATCGGAGCACTGTGCTTCCTCCTGTCAGTGTACAGTTCTGGCCGACAAGGAGGCTCCTTTGAGACTGCGTGCTCAGGGTTTTCCCTGCGTCTCACAGACACCCTGTGCCCTGCACATCCCAACCACACACCCTGCTCAGCGTGTTGCCCATGCACAATGCGAGCCACTGCGAGTTACCCTTTTAGAAGAGCTATGTTTATTGTGGCTGTGGGAAGCCTTACCTTACTGCAGCCCTTCCTGGAGCCTGTCTGTTCAGCACAGCCTTTCACTGCACATCCATCCCCGCCCACGTCCTTAGGATGCTGTGATTTCCTGGGCATTAATGATCTTCACACCCCTCTCCTCTTTGGGAAATGCGCACACCCACTCTGTGTCTTCCTTCAGCAGTGGGCATAGTTTATTGTGTCCAGTCTAGGTCTTCAAACTGTACTGCTTGATACTCTTGGTACATTTCACACTGTTCTTCAGCAGGTCTGTGTATGTTTGTGAAAATACTAAGAGTGGATTACAGAAAGGAGGAGCCAGGGTTGCAAAGACAATATAGTTCATGTTTTCCAAGAGAATAACACTCTTCACCTTTGAACAGAAGGAGCCTGCTGCGGGTTTTGGCAGAGGACAGGCTTGGAGCTCCTGGGTAAGACTGTGATTTTCTTTAGGTCTAAGATAATTTATGTGATTTTATTGCATCTCCCAATAGAAAAATAATCTATTTCTCATTTAATATTTATTCAGTGTTGCTGTATGACAAGGGTATAAGGTGTGAAAAACAAAAGCTTCACCTCAAAGATGCTAGACAAACAAACCAAGCTGAGATGCTTACCTGATGACCTGATAGGGTTTGTGTTGGTGTATGACCCCCTGCTATCAGATGTCACCGGAAACCCTGTCTGCTTGCACCGCCCGTGACAACCCTGCTGCTTACCACTGCGCTTAGTACAATAGGCGGCTAACATGTATCTGTTGAATGAGTTAATGAATGACGAATGGTGCCTTAATTTCAAAATAGTTGGGTAATTATGGAAACCACTGGGGGAACTCTGAAGGCGGAGAGATCATTGCGTCCTGCTCTTTATCTGCTGGCTCAGAACTGCCAGAAAGCCGCTCATGGACTTGGTCATGGACAGTTTTCTGCAAGACTGGGCATCACTGGCCCATTGGGATTCTTGTTGTTGTTTCGTGACTGGTAGCAGAAGCGGTTGGAGGGGGGAAGGTGTGGGCAGGAGCTGGTAATTGGAGGATACCCTTCTGCGCACCTGAACTTGTAGTCTAAATGCCCCCATTGCAGGTTGCATTGTGCGGATCATCCGGGTCCCAAAGCCTGGTTAGCGGGCATCAGGAGGAAGGCCTGCCTAGAGGAAGGCTCTTGTTAATCCTGGCTGCTGAATCCTTTTATTATCCAAACATATGCTAAACAGGCTGAATCTCCCTGCTGACCTCTCTTCCAGCTGCCTGTATCCTCCCACATCCTTGAAGCACTTTCTAACACTTTTTTTTTCTCTCTGTGGTTCACAATCTTGTTTCTACAAGGCTCAAAGCATTGGAATCCAGAGGCTGACTGTCTCCTGTTTATCCCTAAGCTGGGAGGATGGCACTCGTGTGTGTTTTCTGGAGAAATTACTGACTGGGCTGAATTGATTTGAAGCTGTTTAAATTATGCTTTTGATTTTAAATTTTTTTATTCTTCCAGGAGCAAGAACATTGAGAAGCTGGAAGTAGATCCCAGTAAACATTCCTTCCCTGACGTGACCACCATAGTTCAAGAGGAAAAGCATCCACCCAGAAGACTGAAATCCGAACCCCAAATCCAGGAAGACCCAGGCTTTGAAGATAACCCTGAAGTGCCTCCATTGATCTGAAACCTGAGTCGTACTGCCATTGGCCCTGACCCGCAGGCTGGTCTTGCTGGATGCTGTGTGAGTGTGTGTGCCCTCATCACTTCCTGGAGAAACACAGTTACTCATCACAGCTACTAGCCAGGTGTTCGTTACTTCAAACAGTGATATTCTTAAACACATTTAAAGTTAAAACACGTCGTTAAATATGCCTTAACTCATCCTTTGTCTATAAGAAAATGCTGGTCAGAGAAAATGCTCAATAAAATCATAGGATTGTAATAGAAATGTTGGTTATACATCACAGGTCTGCTTGCTTATGCAACAGGAGCAGTAGGTCGAGTTGTCGTTCCATGGCACATCTGCTTTCGCTGGTGCCGAGGCTTCAGGGAGAGATTCCCTGGAACATTATGTCTTCATCGACAGTCAAGGAATAATAGTTGACTCGTAGGTCTGTCTCCTGATAAAGTGTATATGGCAGCTGGTATAGTGTTAGCCATTCACTCGTAGTCCCTCCTCTTCCTCTTCTCCCTCCTCCTTCCTCTTTTACCTCAGTTACTCCCCCCTTCTCATCTTCACCTTTTCCCCTTTACCCAACTCTCCTCTAATTCCTTCTTCGTGTGTAGTTTGACCTTTTCTTCTTTATTTAGAATATTACTAATTCAGTATTCCACATATACTGTAAGAAAAATTGTTGTCACTCAGGACATAATATACCCATGTGTAAATCAGGCTTGCCCAAATATGCTTTCCAAAAATGCTTAGGGAGCAACTTCAAATGCTAGCAACTGTCTGTGCATCAGTGGGCTTAGATTCCCTCTGTTCCCTCCCTGAGGTCCCTGGGTGTGGTGCTCAGTCCCCAGCGTACCCCGATTGGGAAGTGGGGCCTGGTAGGAGTGGGCAATAGAGATACTGATCTCCAGCAGGAAGCTGTCCCTAGAGCAAGTGGCCACGAAAGCCTGAGCCCAATACCTTAGTCACTCATCGGCTTGCCGTTTCGAGTCCGATCCTTTCTACCCACAGGCTACTGTTGTCCTATGAAGGTATTCCACAGGAGACCGCATTAGAGGACAAATCAGTGCTCTGTCCCTGCCTGACATTGCACTGTGAGCCTGCAGCCCTCCGAGCTCACTATACCTCTTTCTGTTATAAAGCTAGCCTGCATTGGGTTTTAGTGTAGTAATAGAAAGCAACTAACATAAGTAGTATGTTTGGCAGGGTGGGGAGTATCCCAGTGTATAAAAGCTACCGTATGAGGGTGACAGTAGCTATAAGGGGACAGAGCTAGGGGAACGGCCTTAGGAGGGACTTTCTAAGCCAGTGTCTTTTTTTTTAAGCAAAGTTTCCGACAGAAAGCTCTGCTAAAATAAAAATGTATGTCAGGAAAACTGAGTCACAATAACTATGATGGCTGGAAGGAACTGCCAGTAGGAGTGCAGTTTGATACAGGGATGCCAGAGATGGCAGTGCGGTTGCAGAAGGAAGAGCTGGGGCAGCTCTGAGCCCACAGAGAGGCTGGAGCAGGAGCTTGGTCAGAGTCCATGGAAAGGCCCGTCAACATTCGCCACTCTGCCATGACAGCTGCCTCTTATTGGCTGCTACCCTTTGGGGCCCGTGGTCAAGCTTCTGCTAGGTGGGTTTGTGCCTAGCCTTAGCCAGAGCACTTAAAGGAGGGAAGACAGGTTTAGGGTAGAGTGGAGGAGAGCAAGGACAGGCTCTGTGGCCTGCATCCTTTGCTTCCTGGATCTGAAGACTGAACGTAGAACCTTCTGCTTTGGTTTTGCTTCCTGAGCATTGTGCAGGCTCCTGGTCACTCTCACATGGGAGCCACACGCAAGTGGGGATTCTTAGGAGAAAGTCCTAACCTTAGCTTGGTTGACATTCCTTCAACCTCGCCAGAGCTCGGCTGCTTCCACATAAAGTCAGAACACAATTACGATTTGCCTGATGCAATTATGCGGCAAATGACCAAAGGTGCATGGTTTGGAGCCCTACTTCCAATGTAATGGTATTTGGAGCTGGGGCCTGTGGGAGAAAATTAGGTTTAATTGAGGCCATGTGCATGCAGTCTTCAGAAAGATTTGTGTTCTGATGGAGGAAAGGACCTCAAGGAATGCTGTCTCGGCCACCTGAGAACACAGAAGGCAGCTGGAGTCTTCGTCAAGCAACTTGGGCAGCTGGCACTTGAACTTGTACTTGCTGCACGTAGAACCACACAGGGAATTTCTGGTGTCTGTCGCACAGTCTGTGCTACTTCTGCTGGCAGTCCAGGCTGGCTCAGTTGTTATTCCTGCCTGAGAAGATTGTGCACAGTCCCACGGAAGAGCTTTTCCAGACTCTTCCAGAGGTGCCATGCTCCATTTTGGTGTTGTGTGAATCAAATATTATGTTAATGAAGTTAATCATCATTAACATATCCTAGAAGGGCAAAAAGCAAAGAGGAAGTATTTGGGTAGAATTTGTAGTGAGATAGATGTTTATATGTGAATATGTGTAAATATACACATGTGTAGTCATATCAAATCCAGGAAGCAGTTCCGTCCCTGGCATAGTGTTGTAGCCAGACACAAGGTTGCACAGACAGCAACTGTTCTGGTGTCCCCTGCCACTACTCATTCCATGTTACCTTTCCCTCAGCATGTGACTCAGCTGATGGCAGCTCCTGGCCTAGTGTGTGACCCTGTCCTTGTCCTTACAGATTCTATGCCAATAACATGGCTTTCTGGTTGAATTATTTAGTTTTCTTTTTGCTATCATTATAGAACCCAGAAGCACAGAGAGATGCACAGAAAGCAGGCTGCGTGAGTTACAGTCCTTGCTCCTGCCCTGCCCAGAACCCCCCTCTGTAACAGGCATTCCATCGTCCTGGGACCCAGTGAAGTCTTTCACTCACCGTACTTCATTATTTGCCTGCTGATTCACTGGAATGAAGATCCCAAAGTAATCAGATAGGCCACTAGTTCCAGCTAGAAAGCAGCACTGTTGTGTTCCACTGGAATTAGTTGATCACATTAGTGCATGATGGATAGTGAGCCCAGGCCCACATTTCACAGCCACAGGAACGATGACTCCAAAAGCGAAGTGATACGCCCTAAGGTGGGTAGCCAGTACAGCCAGACGGGTTTCTTTTCCAGTGACTTTGGGCCAAGTTTCCAATATGCATATTACCTATTCAAGGCAACAGAAATCCATATGACAATGTTTTCAGAGGAAATTTCATGTCTTGAAATTACTCAGTTCCTTGGGGAATATAAAAAGGGGTCTTAGAGTAGAGGGGCTGAGTGAAGGAGGTAATCTTTGGAGACAACTAGTTATAAGATCCTTGCATGGAGGCTGACACTGTGACACAGCACGCCAATCCTCCATCTGTGGGGCATCCCATATGGCACCAGTTGGTGTCCTGGCTACTCCACCTCCAATCCAGCCTGAGAAAGCAGCAAAGGATGGCTCAAGTCCTTGGACCCCTGGACCAAAGTAGGAGATTCAGAAGAAGCCCCTGGCTCCTGGCTTTGGATCAGCTCAGCTCTGGTCATGTGGCCTTTTGGTGAGTAAACCAATGGATGTTGATGCTTCTCTCTTTGTAAAATTTACATTCCAAATAAAAATAAAATCTTGAAAAAGATCTTTGCATAACCTCCAAGAATCTCCAAGGGCCAAAATGGGTAAATGCCTTCAAAGAGAGCTGTTCCCTTTCGGTGAATGCAGCTGCTGTTTGGGGACTCCTATGTTGTAGCCCAGGCTTAGAGAGAAAGGTCAAGGTGTCCTCTTGGAGAGCTTTGCAGGCTGTTCTGAAGTCAAGTTGGTGACTCATACTGGGGTATGTTCCTGCTGGGGGAATTCTTCCAGGCAGCCAAGAATGGGTTGTGCTGGCTCAGTGGAAGAATCCCAGGCCTGAGGGGGACCAGCTTTTCCCCTGGGAAATACAGCCTGCATTTGTCTCTGGCACTGTCCCTTTGACGGGGCCTGGCAGGGTTAAGCTGGGTGTTGGTTGGTGCTGGTTGCTAGAAACAGAGGAAGAAATCTCAGGGAACTGACTAGTGCCTAGAATGTAGCCTACAGGGCACCAGGAGATTCTATGAAGAGGCCATGGAAGGGAGCAAAGTCAGCTCCATGCTTTCCCCAGCTGGACAGAGCAGACAGCTTGAGCAAGCTGGGCAACCTATGCTAGTCAGGCCCAGGAGTTGGACTGAGATGAAGGGAAGGTGTGTCCTGCAGGGTCCAAAGGAGGGATCCCAGTGATCCAGAGAGAATCCAGTGACCAACATGAGGGAAGGGAGAGAAATCACATCATTACCCCCTGCATTACAGGTCCCCAACCTCAGCACTGTCAGGAGGGAAACTTCATGCCAGGGTTTTGACTCTAACAGGACATGACCCTCTGCCTGTGAGGGTCTTGCCAATGCCAGCAGGAGACCTCAGTGGGTACCTCTAGATCCCATGACCCTCTGCCTGTGAGGGCATGCCCATGCCAACAGGAGACCCCAGTGGGCACCCCTAGATCCCATGACCTTCTCCCTGTGAGGGCTTGCCCATACCTACAGGAGACCCTATTGGGCACAGCCATGGGAGTTGTTAGTACACTTGAGACACTAGGACCCAAGGAGAGGCCTCCTGCCTCATTTTTAGGAGGCCCGCCTTCCATGTGACAGCTGGGGCCACCACATTCAGCATGTGTCTGTCACCCTTTGCAGGCTGTCACAGCTTGCTTGACACATTTGGATGGAAAGTGCTACCCTGGCTCCAAGTGACACATGTCAGGCCAATGTGTCTGCCACTCTGCGACAGACTTAGGCTAAAATTAGTGGTTCTTTGATACATGGACCCCCTCATTAACACTGCTTTCATCTGGGCTGGCGTTCCCTTGACTAAGAGGGCAGCTTCAGCCTGCCCAGTTGCTGGAGCCTCGACAATCAGTATGCAGGCACTGAGCAGGTCCTGGGGGGTAGGAGCTTTGTCAATTGCCTGGGGGTTCTCTGCTGCTAATCCTCCTCCTGCCAAGGACTTGTCTGCCTCCTGCATGACATCAAGGTCAGTTACTCAGGGCAGCCCCTTTGACTCCACTGTTGTGCCCCTGGGCCTTGGGTCCATTCCCACTGCTTCTGCAGCCAGAACTACCGCAATGACCTCTGCGGTCTCTTGACCTTCGTTGGGTCTGGAGCTGCTGCGCTCTGGCCCTAGATCTCTCTCATGTGCTCCATTGGGAAGGTCAGGGTCCTCTTCTGTATTTTTTTTCTACCCCTGCTGGGTTTTGTTTGGTGGACTCATCTTCCCATCATTCACATTAGAAAATGCTGTGGCTTCTTCCAACGTTCAGCATTCGTTACCAACTCCACTCTGCTAACTCTGCCTCAAAAACATGCAGGCCGTCAAACAAAAACTCCACTCTTCTCCAAGCCTATTTGCTCAGTTTGTGTTCAACCACCCTTTACTATGAAGTCAATGCTGGCTTCCCCAGTTCAGCTTCCCCCTTTAAAAACTGCTGTGACTGCTGCCTGGGTGTAAAGTCTGAGCTCTGATTCCAGTTGCAGCCCGCCCCATGGCTACGGCTCCCACCTCCTCCCTGCGTCCACAGCACTGACATCACTGGCACTCTAGGGAGGCAGTCACGTGTACACCATCAGTGGTGCGACTGATCCAAGGTAGGCATGAGCTCCACTCATGGTTGGATAAGAGGAAGATAGCACAGCTGATGCCCAAAGATGGTATACAGGCCCAGCCAACAAGGAGACAGCAGGTCCAATCTAATGGGGCATGGATTACTTTATGTGAACATCGTCTGAGGAAGTAATTCCACGTAAATGTACCAGTTTTAGAGAGAAGTAAAATTTGTCGTGATGGGCCATGAAACTTGCTCAGCTAGACTGAGAAAATGCACCAGAACACTCAAGCCCCTGAACAAAGAGCTGCTCTGTTGATTCTGCTCAGCGCCACCACTGGGTTACATAGTCCAGGTGTTGATTCCAGTTACTACTGCTGCTTAACTAACCAGCCTGTACTTAGTGACACCGAAAAAAACCAGCCACTGGGTCCTGCTCCTGGTTTCTCTAGGTCAGACACATCGATGGCACAATGGGGAAGGTTCATCTTTTCTATCTTCTGTCTGGGTCCTCAGCTCAGAAGATGTGCAACCCAGAGCCAGCTTGAAATGTGCAGTCATATGCTAGGTACTGTTGTGACGGCAGAGTCTGACTTTGGGTCAGATTGCAGCTGCTCTGACACCTACACATGACCTCCAGGGCTGCTTGAGGCCTCCTCAATGGCCACTAGGTTCAGAGAGTGCCTCCAATGAGAACAGTGAAGAGATGTGTGGCACTTGTGTGACCTCGCTGTGGATGTCACCCTCCTTCCTCTGCCAC